GCAGGCGGGACGGGAGCTCGGGAGCGGCCGCCGGCTCTCACCGCGCTCGCACGGAACCGTTCCCAAGGCCCCTCCAGGCTTCGGTGCCTCCCGCTGTCCCGAGGGAGCCTCCGGAGACCCTCCCGAGGACCCCCCCGCTCACCGACACAGCGATCCCCACGTCTCTGCCTCTGCGACCGCCGTTCCCAGGCAACGGCTGCACCGGCAGCACCGGCTGCGCCACCGGCTGCACCGGGAAACGCCGGGAGAGAAGGGGGAACCCTCCTCATCCTCACCGGCTTCACCGGGAAACGCCGGGAGAGAAGGGGGAACCCTCCTCATCCTCACCGGCTGCACCGGGAAACGCCGGGAGAGAAGGGGGAACTTCCTCGTCTCCACCGGCTGCCCGGAAGAGACAGCGCTGGCCCCGGCCCAAAGCAGGGAGGCAGAGGAAGGAACATCCAGCCCTTCACCCTGCCCAAGCCTAAATCCCGCTCATGGCTGTGACAAAGTCCCTTTAGGCATCGCCGGGTACGTTCAGGACCGAGCCCTCACCCTGCCCGAGGAATGGGCTGGGGGATCTTTACCCGATGCCCCCCACAGGGAGTTGCAGGCAGCTCTGCTCCAGTGGCTTCCCTGAGCAGGACAAGCAGAGTCAAAGTGAGAAAAATCATCCCCCAAGCCCTGCCAGTCCCCCACAGTCCCCAGCCACTTGCACAGGGAACCCACTCCCAAGGCTCCCTCCGGGCTCTCACTTCACCCCTGCAGATAATCAGCTCCAAACGCTCCCAGCTGTTGACCTCAGCCTTGCTGTTAAGCTCAAATAATAACAATTTCTAAACTTAATTTGTTTTTCCTTCTGCCCAGAAAGAGCCTCACACCCTGCTGGGAGCGGAAAGGAGATTTGTTATCAGCTCCCATTATCTCCCTGACCCGGAGAGGCTGCCCCAAATAATGACTTCTATGAGAACAGAGAGAGGCAATACTCAGTTTTATTGTTTTGGGAGAGCATTTTGAAGTTCAACTGGAAATAAGCTTTAAACAAACCAGTCATTCCCAGAATCCCTTCCAACAGTTTATGCAGCTGTGGTGGTTTAGGAATGGTCTTCCCCAATTTACTGTTCCCACTGAAAACACCCCAGACCCTGTGCCACACACCCACTCCCCCCACTGCTCCTGCAGCAGGATGGAGAGGAGAATGGGAGGCACAAAAAGGTAAACCCTGTCCTGGCTGGAACCAGGAAAACACCCCAAAATCAACTCCTGCAAATAAACCAATTTTAAAAAAAATTAAAAGAAAATAGAGAAGCTAGGAGTGCTTTTGTCATGACTACATAAAGTACTAGAAGTTCCAAAAGTAGAATTGTAACCCCTATTCTTTACCTCGTTGTGTTAAAATAACTGGGCATTCCAAAAATCCTTTCAGCATGTACACTGACTTTAAAAGCTGTGGCAAAATGAGGAAGATGAAGTATCAAACTTGCATATCTCATCTACTATGACAGGCATCAAAAAGTGCTCTAGGACAGTTTAGCATTTATTACATGATATTCAGTGAGGAGTTTTAAAGGGGAGAAAAAAGGAATGCTCTGTTATCACCAAAAAAGAGCATTTCAAGCTCTTTGGAGCGTGTATCAAGTGGGATTTGGGTCTCTCTAGAGCCTTATTCTAAATTGATACAAGGTGGAAGAGATGAGAAGCCACATCTTGCAGCTCTGCAGGTTCCTCCTGACAGCCAGTGCAATTCTGAACTGCAGAACTCTGCCAGAACCCTTCAGGCACCAGAGGTCACAGCAACACCACGTTTTCAAACCAGATCAGAGTCCAGAAAGCAGGAACAAGCTTCAGCTTTATTGTTCTCCCAGCCATGGTCATCTTTGTAAAGGAATGATATTGCAGCTGAAAAAAAAGAGGGTAGGAGGAAATATTAAATTTTAATTTCTCAGACAGGCACATAAGACCTGGCATGGGATGGCTCAGACCCACCACAACCCTTCTCCACTGGTTTCCCAGACAAACCAGCCACTGAGACCTTTCTGCCTGTGCTCATGTTTGCTGGCACTCGACTCCCTGTATCCCTGTGCAGAACCAGCAGCCTCCAGCTCCCTGGTGCCCACCTGTGAGCTCTGTCACAGTGGGCAGTGACACAGCCAGGGCTGGCCCTGCTCAGGAAATGTGCCCTGAGCTGGTGAAAGCCTCTTCCCTCCAGCAAGTGAAACAGTAGCTCACCCCAGGAGGCCCTTCCCGGCCCAGCGCTTTGGAGTCAGCCCCACGTGCACCCTTCTGCCCCCACGGATCACAGTCACACTCAGGGGTCTCTGAAAGAGAGGAAAAAATAGAAAAATAACCAAAATGTTTCACTTTTCCATCACAAAGTCAACTCTCTTCCTTCTTTTGCTGAAGCACACAAAGAACATTAAGCCCAAGGAAATGTTCTGCAGCAGTGCCCACTCCCCCTCCTGTGGCTAGAACTGAAAGAAGAGAGTGTGAAGTCATCTCCAGGAGATCCCTCACTTCCACCACCAAGCACTTAATGGTTGTGGCAGCTTCTCTGGCCAGGCCACCAGGGTGGCACAGCAATGCTGCTGCAGGGAGTCCCCAGGGAGAACAAACAACATGATGTTCACACCTCTCAGCTCTTCCATTCATGAGCCAATAGCTCAGTGCTGTCAGAGAGCAAGGCTACAACTGCACAGACTGAATCTGACATAGTTTCTGACAGGGAAGTGATGATTCCAGAGATCCAAGTTCCATAGAAAAAGCTGTGGCTAACAGAGACAGGCAAGAGAATGCAGTCACAGCAGGAATGAGCTCACCCCCTCACTGTGCTGCACCACTGTGGCAATGTTCTGCAGGTTCTGGAAGTTGTTTGCATTGACAGATCCAAACTCCACAATCTCATCATCAACTTGAAGTCCCTGGACAGAGATAGAAGAGAGATGAGCATCTGCATTTTCCAAAGACAGGTAATGTCACAGGAGCATCACCCTTCACCCAGCCTCAGGTAGAGAGATGTGCTACAACACCTCTCACACCCAAGCAAGTGAACATCACTACAGCCACAGGGAGAGCTAAGTGTTCATTCCCCTGTTCTGTTTCATGGGGAGAGAAATACTGAGGCTGGAATGGTCGGTGAGGTGTGGAAGGAGCTGTGTGGTGCCAGGATACAGCTCAGAGAACACCCATCTCATCCCTGTACAGTGACCAGCCCCTTCACAGGACATCCCAACATGATGAAAAGAAGAGGTTGACACCCTAATCAAGGCCCCAGCTTATTCCCACTGATTAACAAGAGGCAGAGGGTGCCATGAGCTGTCTGGCTCCAGCCAAAGCCTTCCCCACGAGCCGTGCCCGACGCACCGAGACGCTGGCGGGAGAGCCGGGGCTCACGGAGTTCACTTTGGCAAAGGCCCGGGGCAGGCTCTGGCTCTGGCTCATGGCCTCGGCCAAGGCCTCCGCCTCATCCTTGGCATGTTTCTCCTTCTCCCGGGCGTGCAGCTTGTGCAGAGCTTCCTCCACCTGCTTCATCACTGCCTTGTGGTCATTCTGCAAACCTGTGGGTGACACCATGAGCACACAGGGAGCTGGAGAGGCTTCCCCCAAAGGGCTCTCAGCACCTGCTCCCCCTGCAGTCACACAGAGCGGTGCCCTGGCTGTCTCTGGTCTCAGCAACAACCTCTGCTCTATCTGCTGGGGCCTGGTGCCAGCCCGGCAGATGTTTATCAGTGCAAGACACAGAGAAAACCACCCTACGAATTTTGGTAAACATGCAAAGGCAGAAGGGCTGCGAGGCCCGTGATCCCTTAGCACTCAGTGAGCAGCTTAAGTCTTCTTTCCATTAAGTCACCTGCTGTTACGTACACACCCATCCTAAGGAAAGCCTGGGATGAAATAAATGCCAAGCTGTTTTCCACCCAAATTTTATTCTACAAACAGCCCAGAAAAGCTTTGATGTGTTTCACAGATCCATTTTACTGACTCAGCCCAGGCGGCAGCTCCGAGCCCTGAGCAGAACCTGGGGAAGAGGCTCAGCGCAGCCCCGGGCCCCGGTTCTGCGGAATTACAACGCGCGCCATGGGGGTTCCAGAGAGCTCCGCGGTTCCGCGGTGCCCGTTCCCGGGCAGAGGCCGCGTTTGCCCCGCACAGCCCGGTTTCGCTGGCTCATCCCGCGGGATGGGGCACGGCCCGGTCCCGGGAACGGCCCCCCCGCCCGGTTCCCGTTCCCCGCTCACAGATGATGTTGTGCCGGGCTGTGCGCACTTGGTACAGGTCGATGTCCGAGCGGGGGAAGCCCTCGGCGTCCACCAGCGGCTCGTGCATCCCGACGCCCTTTTGCTGTGAGGGGAGAGGCGGCGGTTGGGACGGGGCCGGGCCCGCGGGCCCGCACGGCGCCCCCCAGCCCGGCCCGGCCCTGCCCGGGCACTGACCCCCTCCAGGAGCTCGTAGCACGCCTTGATCTGCGCCTCGATCTCGTCCTTGCGCCGCACCAGCTGCTGCACATCGCTGACGGTGACGGGGCGGCCCCCGCCGGGCTCCGCCATGGCCGCGGCCGGACGGGAGCCGGGACGGGCGCGGGGCGGGGCCGGGGGCGGGGCCAGCGGGGCCGTGAGGGGGTGACAGGCGGGGACACGGCGGGGACACGGCGGCGGCAATAACGGGGTGACACAGCTGCGTCACTGCCTCTGCGGCACACCGCTGTGGCGCTGGCATGGGGGGGCACAGCGGCGTCACCGTCACCGGGTCACGCTGCTGTGGTGGTGCCATGGAGCGGCTCTGATGGTGACACGTGGTGGCACAGCAGTGTCACCACCAGTGAGTTACGCAGCTTTGATGGTGACATGTATTAGCACAGCGGTGTCACCACCGCTGGGTGACACAGCCGTGGTGGACGATGTTATGTCCCTGTCCCTGCTGCTGGCCCCTCTCCAGTCTGTGGCCCAGCGCATTTGCCGAGTGCTGCGTGGCATCCATGTCCCGGGCAGTGTGGCAGCAGGGGACAGCCCCACCACGAGACCCCCACCCCTGTCCTCCGTGCCACTGGCACCACCCAAGGCCCCCGTGCTCATCCCCTCTGGCCTTGCTGGTGGCTGCAACTTCCCACCACTCCCAGCCAGGTGGAGTTTGTGCACTGGTGTCTCCCCGGCAGGGCCATCTCTTGTGCCCTCCTCCTGCTGTCCCACATTTTGGGGTCCCTGCAGCGCTGGGCTCACCAGGGCTAAAGGTGGCCCCGTGCCCAGACACCACCGCACACCCAGCCGGGCTCTGCAGGCTGTCCTGGCTCAGCGCTGCCCAGGATGACGTCCCCAGGGAGGGGTGAATGTCCCCAGGGGCAGCGGGCGGGCCGGGGGCTGTGCTGCCCAAATTGCGTCACCCCCGGTGACCTGGGACACACACGGGGCAGGGATTTGGCTGCGGGGTCAGCAGGGTCCCCACCCTCCGCGGAGCCTCACGTGCTGCACTCCCACCCTCGGTGCCACCGACAGGGCTGCAGGGACCCGTGACACGGCCCCGGTGACAGCCACCCACCGCCCCCGCTTTGGGCAGCTCCCAGCCCAAACCATCCCTGGGTTGGTGGTGGGAGAAGGTGGGGCCGAGGAGGAGCCTCCCCGTCCCGTTATATTGAAAGCGCCCCATTCTCAAGCTCTCTTTGCTTCCATCACATCGCCAGGTCACAAAAATGGTGAGGGCAGCAGATGGGAATGAATTCAGACATTGGGGGCTCCATGGCACGGGGCGCTTTTGGAGATTTAAGCTCTGCTTGAATTCGGGTTTTCCAGTGACTGTTCTGGACGTGGCACAGCAGAGCTGCTCCTCACAGCCTGACCTTTGGATTCAGCTCCCTGGGGGCTGCTGTACCTGCCTGTCCCGCTAATGTCTCTCTTTTCTCATTCTCTTTCAGACGACCTACACAGACAAAGGAGAAAAGGTAAGAGCTGTGTCCCTGTCCTGCCCCTCTGCCTGGTGTGAAACATCAGTCATGTTACAGGAGATTGTGTCAATTCCTTGATTACCTGTTGAAATCAGAAGTAAAACTGCTCTGGGCCACACAAGATCCTCGTTGTAAATTAGTATTAACCATTGAAATTTCTGGTTTGGGAGGAGAGTGACAAAGAGGAGATGATGGATATTTACCAGTCAAGTCAAGCCTGAATCCTCATTCCATGCAACATTTATTTCCAAATGCTGCATTCTTTGCCTCCTTTTTCACTTTTAAAGTGTTTCCAGTGCTGGGTGGCCTGTGCCACGTTGGGCAGTGGTGGGGAACAGAGCGAAGGGGGATCTGTCCTGGTGCTGGTGGTTGTGTAAGAGCTTTTGTGGAATAATTAATCTTTAACAGAGTGAGGTTTGCAGGTGGGCAGCTCGCTGGGATGGCCACTTGTGGGGAGCACTGGGAGAACTGAAACCGTGGCTGTGGGCAAAGATGAATCAGTGCTTTGTACCTTCCAACCTGCAGTGCAGGATCCTGTGGGCCTTGACTGTAAAGCACTTTGGAAAATCCCCATCTGGGGGCTGTTCCACCCAGTTAATTCAGATGCATTTGCAGGAGATGCATTTTCAGGGTCCCAGCTGCTGCTTCCCCCTGCTCCAGAGCCGAGCAGTGCCGCAGGAAATGCAGCAGCAGCAGCTTTCAGCCCCATTTTCCTTCCTTTTAGCCCCAACGAGGCCGCTTCATCCATTTCCACTCCATCACCTTCTGGGTCGGCAATGCCAAGCAGGTGAGAGGCTGCAGCCACCAGGCACACGTGTAAGGGGACAGCAGTGCCAGGGGACAGCAGTGCCAGGGGACAGCAGAGCCAGGGGACAGCAGTGCCAGGGGACAGCAGTGCCAGGGGACAGCAGTGCCAGGGGACACGAGCCAGGGGACACCTCCCACACTGGGACAGGCCGGGCTCTGCAGGCATTGGCTGCCTGGGGGGTGTTGGTTCCTCCCGGCAGCCCCTGGGCCCGGGATGTGCCGTGTCCCAAAGCCCGGCCCTGGCCTGGCACCGGTGGCCTTGGTGGCCTTGGTGGCCCTTGCGCAAGGTGAGGGGCGGCTGCTGGGGGTGGGACATGGGACATGAACCAGAGCACGTGGCCGGGCTCAGCTGTGGCCACCAGCCTGCAGAGCTGTGTGGGCTCATGGCAGCTGATCTCCAAACCTTGCCCTGGGCAACCCCTGTGCTTCACACCTGAGCTGCTTTTCACCCAACCTCACAGAACAGGGGACACGCAGAAATGTCTCCTGCTCCATGGCAGCCCTCACAGAAAGTTCTGGAGGCAGCACTTCCCGCTGAATTTGGGCTTTCTCCTCAATCCTGGCCCTTTCTTGCCTCTGCCTGTTCCCCCTGGGCTGCTGGAGGAGGCAGAGAAGCTGCTGCCTGTTCTCACACACACACAGGGCAAGTGTGACGTGCACCTGCCATGGTGGCTGTTGTCCATGGCCTGTGTGCCACCAGCACCACAGCTTCCAGCAGAGGGACTCTTCCCTGCCCACAGGCTGCATCCTACTACTGCAACAAGCTGGGCTTCGAGGAGCTGGCCTACCGCGGGCTGGAGACCGGCAGCAGGGAGGTGGTGTCACATGTCATCAAGCAGGACAAGGTAAGGGAGCCCCTGACAGAGGTGCCAGGGCAGGGAAAGGTGAGGTGGTGTCAGACCCACCATGAAAACCATCACCTGTGGCTCCATCCTCACCTCTCCTCCTCCTCCTCGGCAGATCGTGTTTGTTTTCTCATCCGCTCTGAACCCAGGGAATGAGGGTAGGTGTCACTGGGGGGGATGCAGTGGGAAATGGCTGAACAAAGCAGCTCTGCTCATGCCTGTGGCTGTTCCTGCTCGGGGCAGAGATGGGGGAGCACCTGGTGAAGCACGGGGACGGGGTGAAGGACATCGCCTTTGAAGTGGAGGACTGTGACTTCATCGTGCAGGTGGGCAGCCCCTCCACCCCCTCCCACACAGCCCCCCAAAACGGTGAGGGGAGGCAGGAGGGCCTGGGGATGTCTCCCCCTGGCCTGGGGGAGCTGTGGCAGGACAGGATCTCTCTCCTTCTGCCCAGAAAGCCAAGGAGCGTGGTGCTGTGGTGGTGAAGGAGCCGTGGGTGGAGCAGGACAAATTTGGGAAAGTGAAATTCGCAGTGATCCAGACGGTGAGTGGCAGGGCAGGGCCATGGAGCTGGCTGCACCTGGGAGGCCCCTGCACAAACAAAGCCATGACACAACCACTTTCCCCCCTCACAGTACGGTGACACCACCCACACCTTGATAGAAAAGCTCAACTACAAGGGCCTGTTCCTCCCTGGGTACCACCCACCCCTCTTCAAGGACCCCCTGCTGCCCAAGCTGTGAGTACTTTCCAGAGGCTCCTGCCTGGCTCTTTGCCATCGTGTTCTGGTGGGATATCCCACTGAGGAGCTGGACAGGTCCCCACTACCTTGCCCTGGAGCCCCCTGAGCTGTGGGATACCCCTGAGCCTGGCTGAGACCCTCCTTGTCTCCCCCCACAGACCAAGTGCCAAGCTCAGCTTTGTCGATCACGTTGTGGGGAACCAACCTGACCTCCAGATGGTCCCAGTAGCAGACTGGTAAGAGTGGGGAGAGCTGGTGGGAGGTGGGATGGAGCAGCAGCACAGCTCTGCTGGTCTCACCACTTCTGCCAGGGCTGATGAAGCCAGCACAGCTCCATTACTGTGGGGATGGAGCAAGGGCTTGACTGTGCCCCCTGTGACTGGGCAGGTACCAGAAGAACCTGCTCTTCCACCGCTTCTGGTCAGTGGATGACAAACAGCTGCACACCGAGTTCAGCGCCCTGCGCTCCATCGTGGTCACCAACTACGAGGAGACCATCAAGATGCCCATCAATGAGCCAGCCCCTGGCAAGAAGAAATCCCAGATTCAGGTGAGTGGATGCTGGTGGTTGACCCATGTGGCTGCCTCCACTCCCAGGGGGATCTTGGTGAAGGAACAGGGACCAAAGGTCAGTGATGTGGAGCCAGAGCAGATCTGCTGTGCTGAAGTGGCTGCTAGAAAGGAATCCTGGCTCTGCTTGGGCCCAGGGCCCACCCATCTCATCAACAGTGTCTGTCGTTCTGTGGTGCCCCTGGGCTGATCTTGCCTGCATATTTTTAAGCCCACACCCATCCCTTCACAGCTGTAGCTGTGCTGTCACTGCCACAGTGACATCTTTTCCCTGTAGGAATACATTGATTACTACGGAGGGGCCGGAGTCCAGCACATCGCACTGAACACCCCCGACATCATCTCAGCAGTGAGTGTAGCCCTGAGACCCCCCCTGCCCTGGGACCCCTCCTGCCCTGGGACCCCCCCCCTGCCCTGGGACCCCCCCTGCCCTGGGACCCCTCCTGCCCTGGGACCCCCCTGCCCTGGGACCCCTCCTGCCCTGGGACCCCCCCTGCCCTGGGACCCCCCCTGCCCTGGGACCCCCCCTGCCCTGGGACCCCCCCTGCCCTGGGACCCCTCCTGCCCTGGCTCTGGGCCTGGTGCTTGTCACAGGGTGCACCATGACCCTGTCAGGGTACAAGGACCCAGAGCCAACGGCCTTTGTGCTGTGGTTGTTTTACAATCAGCATTAACTGCCCAGGGATGCTGCACCTGTGAGCTGCCTGTCCCTCCAGCTTAAAGCAATTGGGGTCCGCAGGGCCCTTGGTGGCACCTCTGTCCTTGCAGGGTGGAACACAGCCAGGCTGAGCCCCATACCCACCACCCACCTTCAGCTGGGGCAGGTCTGGGTTGAGCACCCAGGTTTGGGCTCCTCTCCAGACCAAAGGGCCTCCAGAGGTATCAGGTCAGAGCAGGACAAATGATTCTTGCACAGCTCTCTACAGTGCCTGGGGAGGACATCTTGGGCCTGCCCATTCCTGGTGCCAAAGTGAAAAGATGAGACAGGTTCTCATGCTTGAGGTTGGCCAATGCCATGGGAAAGCATCTCTGTCCTGACACTGCCCATGCCAGGAAATGCTCCTGGCACAAACCCCTCCCAAGCTGAGCCCTGCTGGGTCTCCCCTGCCTTGCAGATCACCAACCTGAAGCAGAGGGGCATGCAGTTCATGGATGTGCCCTCCAGCTACTACCAGGTGCTGCGGGAGAGGCTCAGAACTGCCAAAATCAAAGTGAAGGAGAACATTGACAAGCTGGAGGTGAGTCAGAGGGGGAAAGGCCTGCCCAGGGCTGGACCAGCTCCCCACAGTGCCCTGCAGGGATGTGAGTGACACAGAGAGCCCCACCTGCTCCTCTGTGGGTCTTCAAGCTGTCACCTCATTTCTTTTCTCCAGGAGCTGAAAATCCTGGTGGATTTTGATGAAAAAGGCTACTTGCTCCAGATCTTCACCAAACCAGTTCAGGACAGACCCACGGTCTTTCTGGAGGTGATCCAGAGGCACAACCACCAGGTTGGTTTGGGGCTCTCCCTCTGGTCCTGGCCAGGAGCCCTCAGGGCCAAGCCCTGGTCCCTAACGGTGCCACCCCCGCAGGGCTTCGGTGCTGGGAACTTCAAGTCTCTGTTTGAGGCCATTGAAATGGATCAGGATGCCAGAGGAAACCTGACCGTGCTGGAGCCCAACGGGGAGACCAAGAGGATGTAGGGGATGGCAGCAAGTGCCACCCTCAGCCCCAAGGAGCTGAACCCCAAATGAACTGGGAAACACCCCACGTTTTGGTAAATAGCCCAGGCTGGAGTGCCACAAAGCCAGGGAAGCCACTGCCAAGCTGGACAATGCAAAAGGACCCAACACCTCTCCCAGCCCAGCCCTGGCACTGCCCTCCCGTGACCTCCTGGGAGATGGGGCGTGGGAAATAGCAAACACACTCAAAAAGCAGCTTAATCTGATCCAAACCATGGAATTCTTAACAAAGGGCAGGTTTAGGGCATGTGCCAAAGACATGCAGCTACAGAGGAAGACAGAAGAAACAACTGGGAGTGCTCAAATTTAGTCTATCCAAAGTTTTAATTTTAGCTACACGGGAAGCTGCGAAAGCACAGAGGCATTTTCCTCTCTGCACATCTCCTTTTTTAAGATTTTGGTTTAATTGCTTTTAGACTCAATCTTCAATTTGAATTTGCTGAGAATAAACATGGTTTTAGGGTAGCTACAACACTCTGGAATGAGAATTTATTGTATTTACATATTTCAGCCTTCCCAAGGCAACAGAGTCTTGCTCTAATACCTGTAAATTCCTGCATTAATGATGGGTTGGGGTTTCTCCCATGTTTCCAGCAGTAACTGCTGGCATTGGCAGCAATTCCTTGGCTCAGATCCTGGCTGCATGTGCAAAGTCCCCTCTGGGTGCTGCTCTGGTGTTGTCCTTTGCACGGGGAATTCCTCCCCAAAGCAATAAATCCCTTTTCTGACCTGGCCTGAGTGCCTGGGGAGTGCCTGTGTTCCAGGGGCTGCAGCTCCAGCACTCCCTGTCCCAGCTGCTGAAGGCCACCCTGGGGTGCTGCACAGCCCCTTCCACACCCCCCTGTTCCCTGTTTGCCACCAGGGGAGCTCTCAGGCCCTGAGCCCCTGCCGAGCCCTCAGCTCAGGATGGGCTCCTCTGAGCCCCAGCTGGGGCTGTCCTGCAGCCCTGTCCTGTGCTCACCTGAGGAATGCAGGAGCTGAGCTGGGAACTCTCCTCCAGCCTCTGCCCTGTGTCTTCCACCTCCTCCTCCATCAGCCATTCCTCTTGTCCCTGCTCCAGGTATTTCTTTTTGAATAAAAGCTCAGAGAGGCCACCCTGACCCCCCAGCAGCAGCAGCCCCCAGTTGTGGGGGGTACATGGGGGGTACAGGGGCCAAGCCTGAGCAGCTGCCCCTGTCCCAGGGAGCAGAACTAATCCAGATTTCAAACAATCCCCGAATATCCTGGAAGGGACCCACAAGAACCATCCAAGTCCAACTCCTGGCAATTGGAATAAACTGATTGATAAAGAAAGAAAGCAAAGAGCCTCTGGCCCCAACAGCCTCACACATCTCTGACCCCTCACCTGGTGGTTAAGGCCCTTTGCCTCTATAAAGTTAAAAATAAATAAATAAAGGATATGAAATCAGAGCAATCCAGGGGGGAAGGAGGAGCAGGGAGCCCTCACCTGCAAACACTGGACATGTCTGGGACTCCTGGTTCACTGTCAGGAGAGCTCTGCCTCAGCTCTCCAGGGCTGCAAGATTGTTAATACTGAGACAAAGTTTATAGACTAGAATCACATATTTCTTTCTATGACTAGAATCACATATTTCTTTCTATGACTAGAATCACATATTTCTTTCATGCAATATAATGTTGCTTGAATTCATTTCCTGCTCACCAGAATTAATATTTGCAGTAAACTTTGCTGAAAATCAGTTCTTCACACTGTTCTTGTTCTGCATCTGCCTCCTTGAGCTCTCACAGCTCCCAGGTAATATATTAAGCACAACATAATTTTTCTGTAAGAAAAGTCAGTATATTTATGGTTTGCTTTATAAAAGTTACTATAATACAATGGTACATAGTATTCAATTCACAAAAATATGAACAAATATATACAGCATGACACATCCACAACAAAAACACTTTCTTCAAAACAAGATACATACTGGTGACAGATTCTATATGCACAAAACATCCCTAAATTTATAAATTTGCTTAACCAAAGAAAAAGCAGAAATCCTAAATCTTCAAAGCAGAGTTGTTTTTTTAAAAGGAACTTAAGAAAAAAAAAATTAAATTTATTGCAAACAATTTGACCTGCCTACTTTTAAAGGAGGCCCTTGATTTCCACGCTGGGAATTAAAACCAGAAAACTGCAAGAATTGGGAGCTGGGTGTTCCACTTTGCTTCCAAACTGCCCCATTGTTTTAGAGTGTCCTTCTTGATGTGTTTTCACTTGGACAAATCCTACAGTGGCAATTGAGGAAACTCATAAAAAAAAAAACAAATATTAAACTGAAAAAATCCAGTTGCTAATTTGCTTAAATACATTTTAGGGTGTCTATTAGACTGTACACATTTCCTCGCTTGAAATAAATAGATCTTGCACATAAGGGTTCAGACTGAGGGAGGGGGGAAAGAAGAAGCCTTGACTTGGCAATTTTTTGTCTTCAGTTTCTTAATGCTTCTAATTGCATCTATTTATTTGACAAAAAACCCCCATATTTATACAGAATTTACATTATACAAAGCTTGACACAAGCTGTAAATGCCACCAGCTCCTTTGCTATACTCAGTCCTTCTTCCTCCCCATCTTGACATGATTTAGAGCTGGAATCTGTTTAAAAAGAACTCCAAATTACAATAGTCACTTTTAATAAACTATTTACATGCTCTTGAAGTACAAAGAAATCAGCAAAAAAATTTCAACATGTTTCTACAAGAAACAGTGTTTGAAGAGAAGATTCTTGAGTTCGCCTATGTACAGAAAATGCATTTTTTTATACTTCAAAATCCTTTTTTTTTCCTTAAATTTTTATTTTGTACAGAAATGCACTGAAATGATCCCTGAAAAAGGTCACAAAAACCAGAACTGAAACTACTGAATTTGATGGAGTTTTAAACTGATGGTTGTTTTTTCTTTCCTGGTAGAAATAAGCTGCTCTGTACAATATAAATAACTGCAGGATGAGCCCCATCCCCTGCAGCCCCCCAAGTCCTGTGGATGCCAGCACAGAGGCACCTGCACCTGAACTCCCACAGCTGCAAACCCAAGGCTGAAATTCTATTTCCATCATTTTGCTCTGTTCTCTTGGGTCGTTCCTCCCAGAGAGATGGAATTTTGCAGGAGCACTGTAAATGTCTCTCTCTTTTTTTGTCCTGGGCTCAAATTGAAGTGCCAATAAAGGTGGGGATGTGTTTTTCAGTGGACAAAAGCACTGCAGGCCCTGTAAGCAGCACGAGCTGCTGAGGCTCCCCTTGTCCCTGTCACTGTTCCCAGGGGTGCCTGAGCTGAAAGGAACCACAGCAGCCACAGCTCCTGCCCTCCTCTCACCCCAGCCTTGCCAAGCACAAGGCAAAGGATCTGAGGCCTCTCCCAGCCACATCTGTGCCTGCAGGGCTCCCCTGGCAGGGACAGGGCACCCATGGAAATCACTGCACCAGGCTTGGGAGTCCTTACCATAAAATGATTTGTTTGGAGGTCAGGCAGCTTCCCAGTGTAAGACAAAATATCTCCAGGGAGGACTCTGCAAGCCAAGATTTATGGGGGAGAAAGAGAAGTCTCAGGTTTGGTTTTGAGACCAGACATGATTTTTCAGAAGTGCTGTGGGTTCAACAGCTCTGTTTCATCCTGGGGAAGCACTGGGAGATCAGCTCTTCTAAAAACTCACATTATTTGTCTGGGATCCTAAAAGGGGATGAATTACAGGCAGTTTCAGAAGTGCCCAAGTGATTTAGGTGCTCATGGTCTTTGGCACCCAAATCCCTTTGGTGCTCCTAAAACACAGGGTGAAGGACCCGAAGGTGACAGGGACCTTCCTCCCCACCTTCCTCACCAAGGGTTAAGGCAAACTGCAGAGGCTGATCCCACCCAGAGCACAGGGATGAGCTGGGAACACAGGGCTGGGCCATGTGGGGTGTGCTCAGCCCCACAAATCCACCAGTAATGCACTGGAGCAGAGAGGGAGAAGGCCAAGGACAGGGGCTTCAGCTCTGACACACAGGAAACTTCTGTGCATTTCCAAAGCCTTGCAAGTCAAAGGCCAAGCTGTGGAGATGCCAACACAGTGAATCTCACTCAAAAAAATAACAACTAAACTGAGCAGCTGGTTAAACTCCCAAATGCCATCACTGCAGTTCCACCCAACATTCAGTGACAGAAACTTGTGCTTCTCATGATTTTAGGTTCTGGGTCACCAACACCCAGGTGCTGGAGAGATTTAGGACGAAGGAGGAGAAACAAAACAGAACTGAACCAAAAGCAGAGATGGACCATGGGCTGTCCAATCTCAGAGACAGTTTGCTCGCCCTCAGACAGGAACACAGGTGTGTTAAGGCAGCTGGCAGCAGTCTGTGTGCTCCTGCTCCCTCAGGCCTTTTGTCTGGAGGAGAAATTCAGAGGCAGAGGTCTAACCTACATTACAAACTCCACACTGCAGAGCAGGCCTGGCAATTCCATGGAACAGCTGAAAAAACTTCCAGGAACCTCTTTTGCAACCTCTTTTGTTCTCAGCCCTGTGGAGGTTTGGAAAGAACACAAGAACACAGCTGTGCAATTTGTTCTGTGGGGAGGTGTTTAGTTATGCAGATAATCTTCCCATTTCAGAATCACATTGCAACTTCCCCTTACAAGCCAATTAAAAAGGGTTTAGTACAACTAATCTCTACTTTTAAAGCAGGAGAAATTCAATGCAAATTGAAAAACTGATCCTGTCTATACCTGAATGGTGGTGTAACATTTCCAGATCTCATCCAAAGAATTATTTTTTTCGTGTTTGGTCCCATTTTTAAATGGAACCTCTTGAAGAACTGCAACCTTCACCTCAGCACATCTACAAGGACAAAATATATTGAGAAATCATTTTAAAACATGCCTTCCAAATTTAGAGAAGCAATAGATGCTTCCATGCTATAGATGGGGGGCACAGGATTGCTTTCAGGGACATTTCTACCATGGTTTTCTGGAGGGACAGGATCCCCCTGGCCAAGTTACTGAGTAACAGAGGGAGGAGAGCAGCAGGGCACAGCTTGCTCCTATCACAGGAGGCATCTCCCACATCCAAGGACAGAGCAAATACTCCACATTAAACACTAGAAGGGCAGGGAAATGCAGATGAAGGTGAGAAAAAATGAATACAAGTCACACATCAGCCTGATTCCCACCCACAGGAAGAAAGTCCTGCTACAAACGTGGGCCGTAGTCTTTGCTTGCAAGCAGGGCAGGATTTCTACAGCATCAACAGGGGCTGAGCTGTCCACTTAATGTCAGCCTCTTCTGCAAGCAAGACAAGCCCATCTCCAAGGAATGGGCATCCCCAAAGGCCACAGCTGACTCCACCTCTTCCTAGTGACTGAAGTATCCAAGGGTTTCTCACGTGCAGCTGCAGAGGTTTTGATCCCCCATGGACCAGCATGGCATAGAAAATGAGAGGGGAGCCCAAGGAGGGGAGCTGAGGTCTGGCTGAGCTGACCCTGCCCCGGGGT